TCTGTGTAGCTTTGCACCTTTCCTGGAACTCGCTTTGGAGACCAGGCTGGCCTCGAACTCATAGAGATCCGCCTGCCTCTGCCTCCCAAGTGCTGGGACTAAAGGCATGCGCCACCACCACCCGGCTCCCTGTAAATTTTTTAAATTGTCTCATGATTTATTTGTGTCATGTTTTTTTTTTTAATTTCAGAAAATCTGATCTTGAAAAATACTCAGTCTCTAGTTTTCAGTGATTAACTAGCAGCACATGCTGGTCACCCTCTGCCCACTGTAAGGGACTAATTTAATAGTTACTTCATGATTGACTGTGAAAGCTCTTTATTACATGGGGAGTACTGGTGCCTCCTTGGCCTAATATAGAACCTACAATAAACATATGTTAAAGGATACAGACCAGCAGTGGTGGCGCATACCTTTAATCCCAGCACTCGGGAGGCAGAGGTGGGTGGATCTCTGTGAGTTCAAGGCCAGCCTGGTCTACAGAGCAAGTTCCAGGAAAGGTGCCAAAGCTACACAGAAAAACTCTGTCTCAACAACAAAACAACAGCAGACTGTAGATGAGGGTTGGAGCGGAGACTCCTAGTTAAGGGTGTGTACTGCTCTTCCTTCCAGAGGACCTGAACCTGGACCCCAGCACTGACATCATGTGCCTCACAGCCCCTTGTAGTCACAGTTCCAGGGCGTCCAACACTCTTCTGGCCTCTAAGGGCACCTGCACTCATGAGTACACATATGCATAGTTTTAAAATAACTTAAGCCGGGCGGTGGTGGTGCACGCCTTTAATCCCAGCACTCGGGAGGCAGAGCCAGGCGGATCTCTGTGAGTTCGAGGCCAGCCTGGGCTACCAAGTGAGTTCCAGGAAAGGTGCAAAGCTACACAGAGAAACCCTGTCTCGAAAAACCAAAAAAAAAAAGAGTGTAGGAGCCAGAGGCAGTGGATGATTGCAAGGTAACACTGTCTTCGGGACGCAGCAAAGCAGCTGCACATACAAACTCATAGTAGCTGTGACAGCATGCAAAAGGCCTGTGTTAGCCCAAGCCAGACCAAACCCCAGCACCCCTAGCCAAGGAACTACTGGCGTTGTCAGCTTCTGGGAGAGGGGAAGTCAGTTTTCTCTAAAAGCATAGGCCCTGATAAATCACCCAGGCTTCATTGGAGGACCCCACATCCAAGATGATTTTGGCAGCATGAACTGACCTTGATGTGAGGGAAAAGACGCCAAGTTAGATGACAGAGAAAGGGGATGGACCTGAGAAGTGTTGGAGAGGAAAGGTGAATAGGACTGCAAAATTCTCAAAGAACTATTAAGAAAGAACAAATACAGATGGGCCTGAGGAGTGTAGCTATGTGGCAGAGCACTCCACTTAGAATGTGTGAAGCCTGCATCCAAAGAAGGATGAAAGTGTAGGAATTAAATCAGCTGGTAGAGAGCTTGCCTGACATGCTCACAGCCCTGGGTTTGATTCCTAGCACGCATAGAGCATGGTGATGCATGCTTGCCTATAATCAGCACTTGAGAAATGGAAGCAGGAGGATCCAAAGTTCAAGGTCAACCCTGGCTATATCAAATTCCAGGCCAACCTGGGATACATGATACCTGTCACAATAAAACAGAAAAGAAAAAAATAAAACAATTCTCCAATCTGCAAGCCTAATAATCTGATGAAAACTGAGAACTCTTTGCAGACCTGTCTGTGCTCTACCTGTATCACCTCAGCCCACCCCAAGGCATATTATAACTTTGAGACAAGCTCAGAGCACTTCCTGTCTCAGAATATCTGGACATAGTATTCTTCTTTGTCTGCAGGTAGTGTGGTCTGAACCTTCCCCCCATGACTAAAACTACACATAGTACCAAACACTGAACATACTATTTTTTTAATAATTGCATACCTATGATAAAGTTTTAATTTATAGGGTTGGTGGTAGAGCTCAGTGGTAGAGCACTTGTTTAACATTCTGAGATCCTAAGTTTGATCCTCAGTACCACAAAAAATAAAGTCTAATTTATAGAAATTAGCAAGAATTAATGAAATAGAATAATTATGGCAATACACCACATTGACTAAGAACACTGCACTACTGTATGTCAGTAGTGTGATAACTAAGATGACTTCTAATGAGAGGATAGCTTTTGTAGTCTGGACATACCACAGGAAAAAAAAACAGTGTAGGCCAGCATAATTTTCATCATACTGCTGGAACAGTGTGTAATTCAAAACTTTAGAATTGCTTTGGGGGTAGACAGATGGCTCAACAATTAAGAGCACTTGTTGCCCTTGCAGAGGACCTGGATTCAGTTCCCAGCTAACAACCATCTGTAACTCCAGTTCCAAGCAGGATCTGATGCCCTCTTCTGACCTCGGGCACTGCATGCACGTGGTACACATGCAAACATGGAGACACACACATAAAACAAAACTTTTAAATCTTTTCAGAATTTCTAGACTGCAATTATATTCTATTACATTTTTTTATATAGAAGGACCAATTTGTAACATCAACAAGAAGTGAGAATGAGATTTGCTGGCTAAATACTCCATTTTTTTACTCCTGAGGGACCAGTTCTAAGGTATGTTTTATATGTTTCTCAGAATTTTCCAACATAGATCACCTGAAGAAAATAATAAAATAAGTTCTAAGCCCTAATTTTCATTTCTTTTCTTTTCTTTTTTTTTTCCTGCCTTCCAAGCCCTAATCCTGAAATTCACTTTGTAGTTCAGGCAGACCTTGAATTCAAGAATCTTTCTGCCACCAGGCAGTGGTGGTGCACATCTTTAACCCCAGCACTTGGGAGGCAGAGGCAGGTGGATCTCTGTGAGTTCGAGGCCAGCCTGGGCTACAGAATGAGTTCTGTAGGCCTCAGCCACCACATTCATCTGCATTTCATTTTTTTGTTTCTTTGGTTTCTGTTGCTATTGTTTGAGACAGGCTTGCTGTATAGCCCTCTTTGACTGGCTTAGAATTCACACTCTGTACCTTGGTGGGCCTCAAATTTCCCATGATCCTCCTGCTCCTCCCAAATGCTGTCATAGGCCAGGACAAACCACCATGCCCACTTTCGAGCTCCTCAGATACTGCTTCCCCAGTCATGGGCATTCTTGGAGTTCTCAGAGTAGCATGGCTAGCTCAGATTTCCAGTGGGATTCAGCCTCTGTTACCCAAAATACCCATGATTGCCTTTTCCTCACTCCCTTATGCTGCTTGGATTTCATCCTCTAAATGAACTGTTTCCATCCAAGCCTTATATCAGATATTTTAGGGAGGCATCCAAATTGTGCAAACCTTCTTAGGAAAATACACATAGAGAGTACAGAATTTCTCCAAAAGCTACTTTTTTTCTCCTCCCCTCTTTTGAGATAGGATCTTAAGTAGACCAGGCTGGTCTCTAAAAAGAAAAAGGATTTAGTAGTCCAAATAAATTAGAAGAGTAGATTTTAATTCCAGCACTTGAGAGACAGAGGCAGGCATATTTCCGTGAGTTCAAGGCCAGCCTGGTCTACATAGTGAATCCCAGGCCAGTGAGAACTACAGAGTGAGGCCCTGTCTCAAAAAGGAGTAAGCCTGAGATTCTAGGGTGACCCTAAGTTTGAAATCAATACAAAGAGTGTTGTCACTCATTCCTATTGTGCTTTCATGGCTTCTTCAACCACTGTACTTTGGACACCACTGGCCCCTGGTACTCTTAGGTCTTTTTTTTTTCTTTAATTTTCTATTTTCTTATGTGCATTGGTGTTTTGCCACAGAACTCAAGTTACAGACAGTTATGAGCTGTCATGTGGGTGCTGGGAATTGAACCCAGGTCCTCTGGAAGATCAGTCAGTGCTCTTAACGGTTGAGCCATCTCTTCAGCCCCCAGGCCTTTTCTTGCTGTGCTCACATAGAATCAAGCATACTGTCACTATAACTGGTTTCTCCTACTTCTTTATTGATCCTATATGGTCTCCTAGTTAGGTTTCTTTATTTTTAGATTTATTTATTTATTTATTTTACATGTATGATTGATCTGCCTGTGTGTGTGTATATGCACCATAGTGGTACCAGGTGCTCGCAAAGGGAAGAAGGCATCAGATCCACTGTACTAGGTGGTTGTGAACCACAACATGGGTGATTAGAACTAAACCCCAGTCCTCTGCAAGAGCATCAAGTGCTCTTAACTTCTGAGCCATCTCTCCAGCCCCATATAACCTTTTATATGTGTTCCCAAGCTCCCTCTGGTATCTGGTAACTTTAGATTTACTTATTTTTATTCTATGTATGTTAGTATTTTGTCTGCATGCATGTATGTACACTAGATGCATGCCTGGTGCACTAAGAGGCCAGAAGAGGGTAACAGATCCCCTGGGACTGGGATTACAAGTGGTTATGAGCAGCACATTTCTGGCTGCTAGCATCTGAACACTGGTCCTTGGGAAGAGCAGTAAGCGCTTAAACTGATGAGCCATCTCTTCAGCTCCTCTGGTAACTAAACATGATCTTGTTTTGTGAAAATCAAAGGAACTTTCACTTTTTTTTTCTTTTGTCCTGGAACTAACTCACTTTGTAGATCAAGCTGACCTTGAACTCACAGAGATTCCCCTGCCTCTGTCTCAGAAGTGCTGGGATTAAAGGTGTGCGCCACCACCACCCGGCTGAACCTTCACTTTCTTAACTCTCCATTTTCCTTTCCTGGTATTTCCTAGCTTCTAATTGGCTACACAAAAAAAATAACAAATACCAGTGTTACCAACATTTATTTCCTAATCAGTGTACAATAGCTTCTTAGTTTTATACACCCATGGACCAGCATGTGGTTTTACACTTGAGAATTTATCTCATGTAACACTGAATGATATGTCTTTGTTTATACCTGATGAGTGTGGTTTTGTGGGTGTGGATGTGGGTCTCATGTATGGTCTTTAAGTCTGAACAGTGAGTGTTTGGTATTTAGCTTTAATTGGTCTTTGTTCAGCATCAGCCTCAGTTTTCATCAGCCTTCAAACATCAGAGGAAGAATGAGTTCATTTCCTTGAAGTTTATTGACTGTTACCGGTGGCAGAGAAAATTCCATAAAAGAGCAGATTCCATATGGAACAACAGGATGGGCCCTCTGAGCTGGTGAGGAGGGGTGCCTCGGGGTGGGGACTTGAAGGGTGGAAAGGCAGTGCCCCCACCCTTCACCCTCCATTGCCACAAGGATACTGGAGTAACAGTTGGGGAATCCTGTCCAGCACCCCCTCTCACATTGGAACCAAAGAGGGGAAATGATGTGAATTACAGGAGGAAACACTTCACAGCTCCTCTGTCTCCCCATCCAAGGGGATGCCAATATCCACGTTGTAGTCTCCATGCTCCCCGGAGCTCAACCAGGGAATAGGGGTTCGATTGAAAGAAGGCCTGTTGGAGAGGTTCTGGTTGTAGAGGACCAGGGGTTCACTCAGCAGAGGCCCCAGGTCAAACTTGGGCATCTGGAAGGTCATGCGTTTGGAGGCCTTCTCATATCCACCATAGGGCATTGCTGTCCTGAGAGGGGACATGTTACATAATTAAGAATCAGAATAAAAGAAACAGGACCGTATCAATGAGATATTACCCTGTTTTAAGGGAAGAGAGTCTACAAATTATAGCTAGAGATTGCTTCTGTGCTCCTGGTTCTTCTCCCTGAACATTCCATGTCCCTGGCTTGCTTATCTCTCCAAAGTTAGTGATGAATGGAGTCTAGTGGACTCTGCATGGTCTTGTGGATGGCTGTGACATACACCAGCATTTTAGTAAAAGTGGCCCCAAATACTGTAGACCCGATGGTATGAGACCATACTTAGATTACAATGTATCTGCCCCCTCCAATTCTACCCTCACTGCAAAGGGATAGTAGATGGCCTGGCTGGGAGGAATTAACAAGCTAATGTAAAAGCACTTCTGTAGACCTCCCTCAACCTGCTCTCACACAGATCTCCTATCCATGGTCTACGGTGCCCAATTCTAAACCAGTAACTTGGAGCAGGGTATAAAGAAACAGAAGTGTCCTGTAGAGAGAGTAGTGGTGCCATCAATTGAATGGGAGGGAGCCAGAAGAAGGTCCAACCACAAAATATAGTATCCCCATTTTACCTTCAAAGAAACCAAAGCTCAAAAAAGCAGTGCCCAAACTGCTGATCAGTGAACTAACAGAGATCTTGCTTCCCAACAAATCTTTCCACCACCACACTGCTACAAGAGGCAAAAGAGCAGAGATCTTCCATGAAGGACTATATCCCCTTAGTCTTCTGAAACATTTAACTACAATCCCATACCAAGTATAACACAGTAAGTACCACACAGTGGAATACATCTGGTTTCTTCCCACTATCCTACCTGTTGAAGGACTTATATTTGGGGAGTTCAGCTTTGGCCCCATATGCCAACAGGTCAATGCCAAGTTCCACTTTTTGCTGAGGGTCAACCCCCATGGCCCGATCCCATGGGGAAATATAAGTCTTGAACACTGTGACATGTTTTCCTTCTCCACCTGCCTGGTCACCTGGTAGCCATGAGAGAGAAACATAAATCAAATAATAGCAGCTATTATTAGTAGCTAATGAAAGCTAATCCCGTATTCCACCACTAGAGAAGTTGCTGAGTCTAGAGACCTGAGGTATAACATCCTGGGAGTTGTATGTGGTTTATAACATAAAGGTAGTCTGGGGTGAGATCTGTGACTGAATCTAAGAAACCGGGGGGAAAAAATAACTAAAAGATAAGACTGTGGGTGAAATAGACACATTGCTGTATCCTGGATACCTTCTGGGTCCAAGATGCCTCATTCTCCCTCTTCCCAAATAGGCCCCATTCCTAGGGACATCCCTGCTCTAGGGACCAGATGCATTACTTCTGGTGAGAATGCTTGCCTGTTCCTGGCTCTCCATTCCCAGCTGTGCCAGGAGCTCCTCCTCTGCCAGCCTGGCCCCCAGGACCACCTGCACCCCCAGCTCCAAAGCCGGAGCCTTGATGATGGTGATGGTCAGAGCCATACTGTCCAGCGGAGCCACTGCCCCCGGCCTGGCCTCCACCGCTGCCCTTGCCATAGGAGAACCCCTGACCCGCTGTCTCCAGCTGTCCCCCCACTGTGGGAAGGAACTTCTGGAAGTGATCCTGAAAGGAAGACAGAAAGCGAGAGGAAGGTTAGCAGTGGGTGTGCAGAATACACAAAGACAGGGTACATCTGCACGAGGGGGTGCGTGGAGTTTAGGACCAGCCAGAAGATCCCAGCGTTCTGAGAAATCCTCCCTAATAACTGCAGAGGAGATTGTCGGCCTGAGGGAATTACTTTCCTACAGAGGGTTCACTCCCTAATTACAGCTCCAGGTAAGGCAGCTCATTCCCCACTCCCCCTCCCTGTCGTGACAAGGCAAAGCAAACAAAGACATCTCCTCAACAAGAAAGTGCAAGGACGAGTGTCGGGGAGAAGCCAGTTGTAATTTGAAAAGGGGAAGAGACCTCTGTCCCTTCTTCTCGGTCTGCCCAGCAGTGAGAACTCTTGCCCCACTCCTCTCTCCCTCTCCCCTCTTGATGGCCTATGGGACCAGAACTTTCTCACAGTGAAACTGTAGCAGGTGAAGCGGGGGAGGATGGCCAAAAGGGCAACATTGGGTTTGGCTCCAAAGCCTAAAAATAACCCCACCAACTCCTTGAGGAGGCCCTCCTGGCCACCTTACCAAGTAGCCCCATGCTCCACCCAGCTGTAACCAGACCCAGCCCGGAGGAGGGCTTTGGGCCCTCCTAAAGTTAGATATGACCCACTCAGCACTTTGATTCTGCATAAGGGCTAATGACAGACTCCCCTGTCTTGGCCGCGTCCATGTAGGCATCTATTTCCACTGTCCCCCAGCCACCCAGAGAAGGTGGAGGAGGAAGAGAGAAAACAGAGCCTGTTCCCTCCTCCTCGGCTGTAACATCCTGTGCCTGGCCTCTCTCCAATCCCTTCTTCTCTTTCTTTGGAGAAGCCTGACTATGTGTGGTCTTAAAGAAAGAAGATTTAGTCCCCCTGTCCTGCATCCTTAAAGAAGAGATTAAACCTTTAAAAAAAAAGATTTATTCAAAATGAAGATGGCTATAAAAACTCATTAAACTCCTCTAATGTTGCCAAATTTAACAAATAAAATTGCAGACTACCACTTAAATTTTATGTTCAGGTATAGAACAATATTTTTAATATAAATATGCCCTAAGTATTTAATGGGACATGTTTACATTAAGAAAGTGTTTGTTAGGCATTTAAGTTTAAAATATAACACATTTTTAATCCTAGCACTCAGGAGACAGAGGCAGGCAGAGCTCTGTGAGTTTGAGGCCAGCCTGATCTCCATAGTTCCATGCTAGCCAGATTTACATAGTAAAATTCTATCTCAAAAAAAATTATTTTATTATTCCAATCTTATTTTTTTGTTTGTTTGTTTGTTTTTGAAACAGGATTTCTCTGTGTAACAATCCTGGCAGTCCTGGAACTCGATTTATAGACCAGGCTGGCCTGAAACTCACAGAGATCCACCTGCCTTTGCCTCCCAAGTGCTGGGATTAAAGACATGAGCCACTACTGCCCAGCCTTATATTGTTTTTATGTCCAAAATGTTACATGTTACAAACAACATATTTAACAGGAAAAAAAGACAACTGTTGATTTTAAAAACTTTTCTCAGCTGGGCGGTGGTGGCGCACGCCTTTAATCCCAGCACTCGGGAGGCAGAGCCAGGCGGATCTCTGTGAGTTCGAGGCCAGCCTGGACTACCAAGTGAGTTCCAGGAAAGGCGCAAAGCTATACAGAGAAACCCTGTCTCGAAAAACAAAAAAAAAAAAAAAAAAAAAAAAAAAACTTTTCTCAAATTCATGAGCAATCCTCCACCCTTAGCCTCTTCAGTGACCAAGCTCATTGTATAAACCTGGAGGTCAAATTTAACTGGATACCCTCTTTGGATTTTTGTTGCTTGCTGTTTGCTTTTGGGGGCACTGGAAACGGATCCTAGGGTCCCATGCATTCTAAGCACCTGCTCTGTCACTCAGCTATACAGTCAGCCCCGAGATTCTGTAGTTTTTAATCCTTGTTTCATTTTTATGTCCCCAATATTACAAAGAACATACTTTACTAAAAAAAAAAAAAATATTCATTGTGTATCTTAACTTCAAAATACAGGACCGGGTGTCCTGTGTTTTATCTGGCAACCCTATTTTAACACTTTCCCACACTGGGAAGGAATTCTCTCCCTCTGGGTGTGGTACTCCTTCAGCCTGTACTGGCTCTAAGATGGGACTAAGCTTCAGAAATGGGCTGTACCCCACCCTAGAGCTGTTGGGAATGTAATATATGTAGGGACTTAATGAGCTTATCATTTCTCATGGAGAGGAGGTTGGTGGTATTTGGGGAACCTGGGGCCTACTGAGAAGCTGTCAGAAAAGGCCCTGGGCTGTGAGAGAGGTTCATGTCCATCCTCACCATTGAGCTGTCCGAGAAAACATCGGGGTGGTTCTCGTAGATAAATTTCTCCACCCGCATCTGCCGCAGCTTGAACATCTTGGAGCCTCGGTTGGTAAGCAGCGACAGCTCCTCCAACATCACATCCCTTGGGACACTGATCTTCTTGCCCAGGTTCAGGCCAGAGCTCTCCCGTCCGCCTTATCCAGGAGGTGGAGAAGAGGAAATTAAGGCTTTCTGAACTCAAGAGTAGAACCACCACCCACAGCTGAGTGTATAATCAAAGAGATCATTTAGGGGCAAGATGCTGTTATCTGACCAAGGTCTATCTAGTTTATGAGAAGTTTTTGTCTTATTTGTGTATCGTTTAAATTTTTTAAGAGATTTGTTTGTGTTTTATGTGTATTGAGTATTTTGTGTGCATGTGTGTTATGTGTACCACATGGGTGCCTGGTGCCCACAGAGGTCAGAAAAGGACTCAGATCCTCTGGAACTGGAGTTAATGATGGTTGTGAGCTACCATGTGGGTGCCAGGAACTGAACCTGGGTCCTCGAGAGCAACTTGCTCTTAACCACCAAGTCATCTCCCCACTTCTTCAGTCTGTGTGGGGTGTGCGTCTGTATGTGTGTTGCGGGGGGCGGGGGGTGTGTGTGTGTGTGTGTGTGTGTGTGTGTGTGTGTGTGTATGTGTGTGTGTGTGTGTGATAGAGTGTGTGTGTTTGAGACAGGGTCTCACTATGTAACCCTGGCAGGCCTGGAATTCACTATTAGACCAGGCTGGCCTTGAACTCACAAATCAGCCTGCCTCTCCCTTCTGAGTGCTAGGATTAAAGGTGTGCTCCACCACACCCAGCCCATGAGAAGTTTTGATTTCCTGATTTCAAGTTAGAGAGAACACAAGGAAACAAGGGTTCGGGGCATAACAGTTGGAATACGAGAGTAGAGAGGTAAGCCGGGCCAAAGCGGGCATGGGCTTGGAGTGGAAGAGAACAAGTATAAGGGAATATCGTAGACAGAGGCCAGGAGAGAAATTATAGCATGGGGGGAAGCTGATAGGCCCAGCCCATGTGCAGTTGCCCATCTCTAAATACGGATCCTTGTGTCCTTTCGTTTTGATTCGGTGAACTCTGGCTCCAGAGGTATCAGGAGAACTTCACACTTGGTAACTCGTGTGCATCCCTGGGGAGTACGCCTGCGCACTTTCCTATTTTAAATGCTTACACAAGTTGTCTAGCACTTAGAAGGAAAGAAGGGAATTAACCATTTGGTGAGGCCTAGCTTGTGTCCCCACATATACCTCACTGACATGGGTCCTGTGGTCCAGGCCTGGCTGAGTAGCGCAGCAGGGTGTTATCGCCTAGTAATCAGTGCAAAGGGTCGGAGGACGCAGAGTAAATGTTGAGCTCTTCCTGCCTCTTTCTCCTTGTCCTTCTTTCCTCTCCCATCACTTCTGTCTCCCACACCCTCCATGGCTGGAATTCCTCTGACTTATATCCAGTCTTATGGAATTTCTGGGACTCCTGTGTCAGGGTGCTCTTAAAAGTCCTGCATTAGGGAGCTCTAAGCATGCCCTACCTCCAGTGAGTTCCATGATCAGTTTGCTGGATTTCCTCCTCTTGTTAGGGGCCGGGGTTCCCGAGAGCGGCATGGTGGAGATGGATTTGACCTGGAAGGAGTGGGAAGCAGGCTTGAAGGAGAGACGGAATGGGAAGGATGAGTGTGTACACTACAGTCCTACTTCTTTCTTTCTTTCTTTCTTTCTTTCTTTCTTTCTTTCTTTCTTTCTTTCTTTCTTTCTTTCTTTCTTTCTTTCTTTCTTTCTTTCTTTCTTTTCCTTTTTGAGACAGGGTTTCTCTGTGTAGCCCTGGCTGTCCTGTGTCCTAGAACTTCTCTGTAGACCAGGCTGGCCTCGAACTCACAGATCCACCTGCCTCTGCCTCCCAAGTTGGGGTGTGGCACCACCTCCCAGCTTAGTACTCCTTAACTTGGGGACAAAATTTCTTCAGATCCTGTGTGTGTGTGTGTGTGTGTGTGTGTGTGTGTGTGTGTGTTTCTCCAGTGCTGAGGATTGAACTCAAGGCTTCGTGTATGCCACGTGGATTCTCTACCACTAAGCTATGCCATCCACTTCAGGTTTTCACAGAAATGTGTATTCCCCGAGAAGGTAAACTTTACTGCCTTGGGGCTTCTGTTTTCTTTGGAATCAGAACAGGAGGTAAAGCTACAGCCCTTTCTCTACCTCTTACCAGCCTCTTGTGCCCACTTTCCAAAGATCCTGTGTGGGGATCAGGAGCAGAGCCGGGGCTGTGGGTTGTTTAAAAGACAACAGCCCTGGCAGGGCAATGCACCCAGGTTTCTTGAGCCCAGCATGATTTAAAGTCGTTATCTGTATTGGGATATCAGCCTACAGCTATGGCTTCAGACTCTGGTCTCCTCCTCAGGCTTCTGTCAAGGCCCAAGGGGGTAAAGAAATGTTCTGCTAGTGTTGAGGAGATCCAGCCACAACACTCTCCATAGGAAGGGGAGGTTGTTGTTCTTCCAAGAGGCCAACTGGAACGTGGCCTGAGAGGTCATGGGGGTGTTCCTTGCTCCCTCGGGCACTCCTATCCCAAGCTGCAGAGCTGGGGTGGAGAGTGAACTGAGGGCATTTGAGCTCTGACAGATGTCAGTTCAGCAATATCATACATAGCAGTAGAGACTTGTTGGGGGACAGAAGCATAGTAATAAGATCTGGCTGTGGATGGGGAAAAGCTAGGAAAAGCTAGGAACTTCATTCTCTCCTTAACAGTCATGAAGTTTTCTATGGAGTCCTATCTCACAAGCACAACTACACTCCACCAACCTCGTGGGGTCTCAGGCCACCCCTTCCCCTCCCTCAGGTACCTCCCCACCCATCTGCATTCCTCCCGACTCCTTAGGTCCCTTTCTTTCCAACTCTGTGGCTCCAGCTGGACAGCTGGGAGCTGAGCAGAGATGAGGAGAGAGGCCACTCCCCTAGGGTGAGGAATCACATTGCAGACAAGGAGGTCAGGAGAGTGGGCTCCAGCCCCTTCATACCATAGAGCGACAGACTTACCAGCCGCCTCAGTTGGTGGTCAGCTCGCCCTGGGGTCCAGCAGCTTTGGAGGACTGAGCTGCTGTGACTGACTGGCGAACCTGAGCTGGGCAAGCGTAGGGGCAGCACCGGCAGTAGGGGGAGGGACGGTGGTTATTAATAGAGATGATGAGCACAAGCGGCTCAAATGGCACAGGGGGTACTGAGACCCTGGAAGCAAGTGCCTGCTCTCCTTGACTGGAGTTCAGGAAGGGGGAAGGCCTACGAGAGCCCCCACCAGGCTGTCAGAGTCGGGGATCAGTGGATCAGTGGGCTTAGGGGTGCACCTCCTCTTTGCACCTTGACCCTTAGATCCAAAGAAGCATTTCAGGAGGCAATTTAAGGCAGAAGCGGAGAGGAGGCAGCTAGTAAGTGGCAGGTAAGAGTAGGTAAAGGGCCGGGCAGCGGTGGCACACGCCTTTGATCCCAGCACTCAGAGGCAGAGCCAGGTAGATCTCTGTGAGTTCAAGGCCAGCCTGGTCTACAGAGCAAGATCCAGGACAGGCACCAAAACTATACAGAGAAACCCTGTCTCGAAAAACAAACAAACAAAGAAAAAAGTAGGTAAAGGAAAAAAACAAATTAAAACCAGAAAACATGATTTGTGGGCCACTCAGGGCCATCCCAGGCCAGGGCTGGAGGGACCCATGGGTGTATTGGGGGTAGGAGGGATTAAAGCCCTAAGTTTGAAGATAGGATGGAAATTTTCAAAGTGGAGTTGCTTTTAAATTTCTTGACTAGGTCAGCCTTTTCTGACCTAGTCAAACCCACTGCCGATGGTGTGGTGAAGGCCCACCTGCCTCCCTCCTTTTCTTTCCTCTTAGCACAGTGGTTCTCAAGCTGTGGGTCACGACCCTTTCCAGGGGTCACATATCAGATAACCTGCATATCAGATATTTACAGTAGGATTCATAACAGTAGCAAAACTACAGTTATGAAGTAGCAACGAAAATAATTTTATGGTTGGGGATCACCACAACCTGAGGAACTGTATTTAAGGGTTGAAGAAGCATCAGGAAGATTCAGAACCAGTCTCAGTAGCTGCAGTAATACCCTGAACACTTCCTCATCTTTTGCTCATGTTCTGCAACCAGCTGCTTTTGTACCTCTTACCTTAATAGCTGTCTGAGGAACTGGCTTTTTTTTTTTGGTGTGTGTGGAATTAGTTTAGTAAACATATAATAGTTTCCTGGGAGTGGTGGTGCATGACTTTAATCCCAGTACTCAGGAGCCTTCAGCCAGGGCTACACAGAAAAATCTTGTTCCCCTCCCCCAAAATAAAAAGTTTATTTTTTACGCGTGTATCATTGTACTTCGTTCATATTCACCCCCCACCCCCATGACCATCCCTTGTTCCCACACCTCGAAGGAAGTGGTTTTTGAAGCTTTCAGAATGCACTGGTCCCTCTGGGAGTCCCCCATCCTTCCTGACCACACCCTTCTCCCATACTATTCTTGTCATGCTTAAACTGGGGGCTGACCGTCCTCCCCACACACCACAGCAGGTGGCCACTGTCTAGACCTTTTATCTTTGGTCTATTTCCTCCCAACCCAAGGAAACAGGAGAAAAAACATAAATAGTGAAAGGTAACTTTGTTATTACTACTACATTCCTGTCAAACAAAATAAAACAAAACTCAAAGCCTGAGCTCCTATGACCGAATATCTGAAATAAAGTATATGAAGACATGCTATTTAGCCTGTGGTGTTTCAGCCCTTCTTATTATTGGAATTCTCAGACTCTGTACTTGGGAGCATCTGGTTGTTGGCACAAACATGCCCCCTTCTGGTCAGCTCAGTAATGATACGTTCCTTCTCTCATTCCTCTGGTCAGTCCCCAGATTGTCTATTTCAGTCTCCATTCTCTCTCTCTTCCTTCCCTGTTCCATACATCCACACCTGCCATTGCATTCCCTTTACATGATTCCCAGACATTGTTCAACACAGCTGCTTCCTCCAGGGAGCCAGGAAACGTCGGCAAAGAGCGCCTGCCTTCCCAATTACTCTCAGTTGTCCAAACTGAGCCTCACCTGCAAAGAATAAACTTCGGAAGAAGAGGGAGAGGCTCAGGGTGGAGAGTGCAAGGTCGGGACTCTGAGAGGAGTGGTGAAGGTGATTGGATCAAACAAGACGATTAGCAGGGCGGGTAGGATGGGAAGGCAGGAAGAAAGACAAGGAGCAGGAGTCAGATCAGCAAATGGGTTAGAGAAGACCACGAAGCCACTGGGATCGGGCATAAAATCGGAAGAGATGACAGCAACAGGAGATGTGGGTGTGGGCATACGTTTATTCTTGTGCACAAATCAAAGAATTGTGGCGCCCAATGTTGCAAAGGAAAAGATCCACTTCCAGGTCAAACAGCAAGCAAGATGGTGGTCTTCATGGAAGGAGAGTCCTTACACTTCTGGGACCAGAAATTAGAACTAAAGCTGAGCAGGAACAAAAGCTGGGCTTCTGCAGGTGGTGTGGGACAAAAGAGACTTGGGCCAGCGTCTTCCTGCCTTTCCCAGGTAGTCAGGATAAGCTGCAGCAGCGGAAGGTCAGATTCACAGGAGGTAGCACAGCCAACTCTAACATCTGGCACACATCCTCACACCTTTGCTCTGACAAATGCATGCATCCTCCTGAGCTCAGACGGTCCCCTATGCTCCCTCATAAGTAGTTGGTTTCTTGTTGGCCAACTTTGCTCTCTCCCTCTTGCCCTGCTCCCTGTTTTAGCCTCACTCCTCCTCATCCACTCTGTCTCCATCCACCATCCTTTCTATCTCTGGCAGTTCAGAAGAAATTTTCTGTTTTACTTTCTGGATACTGACTTGCTCAGCACAGGACCCTGGTTCCTAACTTCCTGAAATCCAAAGAAACAGAATTCTTAGCTTTTTTTTTTTTTCCAGGTCTAGCTCATATAACTCAGACCCACGAAAATCGTCAGACTCGTTAATATCACAAGCTGCTGTGCACCTGCTACAGACAATCCTCTTGGGAGTTTTTCTGCAGTTAAGCTCTTGTTCCCTGCAGGACTCCCTGGAGAGGTATCTGATCCTTCTGGTAGAAGGAAAAGAACTCCCCTCTAACCTTTGCCCCAAAAGAAGCGCACATGTATGGTTTTCTGATACCTTTCCAGAGCAGATCCTAACCACACACATTTGCAAAAGCATGGGTACACACACACACACACACACACACACACACACACACACACACACGCATATGTGAGCGAGGAATATGGAGTGTGAAGGGGCTCAAGCACCGTTCAGTCCCTTAGTTGCTTGTAGCGTGGTGAGTTTCTTGCCTGAGATTTCAGTGGTCATTTTACTGTGTGCTTTTTGCCTAACACTCAAGTGCTGCCCACAGAGAGAAACACAAATGCAAAAAAAAAAAAAAAAAAAAAAAAAAAAAAAAAAAAAAGAACTCCTGAGACCTCTGAGTGGAGAAGCCAGAGGTCCAGGCAGAGAAATACAGAGAAGATACCAAAACAGAGATAACAGGTTAAAAAGCAGCAGCAGGGGGCTGAGGAAACTGAAGGGGAACACTATCTCTGGCAAGAGGCAGCGCGGGGAGAAAAAGCCGGTAGGACAAAGCAGAAGAAACTTCTGGGACTCTAAGTTCCATTACTTGGTCCTGGGACCTATGTTCACTGGTGCCCTGCCCCAGGCCTCCACACGTGAGCCTGCAACCCTGTTCTGGTGGCTGAAAACCGGGGCCTGGCTACTTGGAAACCACAGGAGCTGGGGGTGGCAGCAAAGCTCCTGGAAGACTCCTGAGGATGGTCTAGGTTAGGGACAGGGGGTGAGGCCAGCTCCGCCCTCCAAATTGGTTCGTCCAATGTGGTAGCCGCTCTGGGGGCAAGCACAGTGGGAGCCAAGGGTTCTGCAGTGGGCTGGGGTGCTGGAGTGGAAAACCTGCGGATCTCCTGGACTCGGGCAGTTTTGGGAGGCCCTGACGTGGGGCCAGGAGTGGAAGGAACCTCGTCAAAACAGAACATGGCGGTTTTAAGCTGGTACGGCTGATGTCGCATGAAATCCAGGGCCTTGATGCCCTGCTTGGGGGTCGCCCGAGGTCCCTGAGATTGGGCCTTATTGGGGAGAGTTCGGGCAGCTTGAGGGAAAAAAGGTGAGAGGAGTGGGTTGTAAGCAATAGGGGGTGGGGCACGGATGTTGGGTGAGTATTTCCACGATGGGGGCAATGAGGGTGTGGGAGAAGGACTTCTAGGGCGAAGGCCAGGATTAAGGCTAGCGCCAGGTGTAGCTTCCACCACGTACCTGTCGGCACGGCTCTGCCGCTTTGCAAATAGCTCCCCACCCCTCCCCTGCAGCCTTGGGAGCTCAGGGATTCCAGCCATAGCGGTCGACCCATTCACTAGCCCATCAAGGAGCCCTCGAGCTGAGGGCTTAGGAGCCACAGGGGGTGGAGTCTTAGGAGTTGTTGGGGGTGGGGTTTTGGGAGCCATTGGAGGAGGGGTTTTCGGTGTCACTTGAGACAAGGTCTTGTAACTCCTGCCCCCTAGTGGCTGCATGAAGTTACAGGCTTCAGCTCCAAGGCTTAAAGCGTCCTCCTCCGGACCGGATTCCGCACCACCCGCCCGAGGTTTTTCATCCAGGTTCTGCACCAGCGATAGGAGCTCGGGGTTGGGCGAGTTCTTCGTCTCTTCCTTTCCAGGGCGGAACATCTGCTTCCGAGTGCCCCGGCGCCGGGCCTCCTGCAGGATGCCAGTGCGGGCAGCTGGTACAGAGATGCGCTGCTCCCGAGCGCTGGCCGATTCGGGGGCCGCGGGGCCGGGCGCCTCCGGGCGCACAGAGCTTCTCAGGGGCGCCGACAAGAAGATGGAAGCGGTGGAGGTCATGGCAGCCGCGCCAGGAGGAGCGGGAGACTCTGGGGCGCCTCCTGGTGTGACGGGCCGGCTCGGGGCTGGGATGTACAGGGAGCTGGTAGCGGTTACAGGACCGGAGGAGCGTGGGCTGCTGGGAGCTCCGGAGACTGGCGTGTGGCCCGGCGTGGTGAAGCTGGGCAGAGGGGTGGGTCCCTGCAGAGGGGCTGCGAAGGGGGACGGGGCGGGGCTGGTGGCTCTCAGGCCTTCATTTACCTTCTTAGGGGCTAAGGGCCGGAAAATCACTGAAGTGGTACCTGACCTTTGTCCTTGTAAACCTGGGGTGAAAGGCCTCGCTGACCTGTTGAAGATACTTGGCGCTGGGCTGGGGGCTCCACCATCCGGGAAGAAGGGGCTAGGGCTGGCTGCAGGGGCCGGCAAAGGGCTGAGTGGGAGCACCGCTGCCTCTGGGGGAGCACTTTGAGCTCGAGGTGGGGACTGCAGCCCCTGCCCATTTAGCATGGCTGCTGGGCCCACCTGAGCCAGCTCCTGGCTACTGGAGGCTGCCCGCTGGCGCTGCTGTTCAAAGAGCTGAACCCCTCGCCCAGAGACCTCGCTCAACTGCCCTCCCAACCCGGAGCTCTGACTCTCTGTTGTTCCTGAGCCAGCCCTGGCCAGCTCCATGTCCAGATAAGGGCTGTCCCAGTCAGACTGATTGGTAAGGCTGCGGGCGTCCGAGAAAGCCTCTTCGTCCAGCTCCGACTCACTCGTTGGGGGGATGCCGTCCTCCTCCTCTGTTCCTGTTCCAGCTGCAGCCCCGAAACTCACTAGAGTGTACTTCTTGGCTCTCTGCCGCCGTTTCTTAAACATAAGCACCCCCTTAGAGTGGGGGTTGGGGGCCGCTGTTAGCAGGGATGCAATGGTCCGGCATTTGGTTTTGGCCTCCTTCACACTCTTCTCCTGGAGGCTTTCTGCACGTTGCAGTTCTGAGGAGATCAAGAGGTAGATTGGTCAGGGGGCTTCACCGCCTATTCTAATCCCGTTCCCCAAAGCTCTTACCTCTGACTTAGAGACAGAGCGGAGGGGGTGGGGGGAGGTGAAACCAAGGACAGGGACACGGCCCACACCACAGCTCTTCTGTACCCTCTGTAGCACTTGTATTTTCCAGGAGATGAGCCTTAGTCACTCCACACATTCTTCACCTGCCTCCCATTCTTGACTGGCAGTGGAGTGGGGGAGGTGTTATTCTAAGGCAGGCAGAACCCATCCCAAAGAGAGAAAAGATAAGGAACACTTTTCTCCTCACACCTATTACCACTATAACCAGGACACACAGACTTTCTTTTGTGTGTGTGACAGGGTCTCTCTACATAGCCCTGGCTGTCCTGGAACTCACTATGTAGACCAGGTTGGCCTCAAACTCACAGAGCCCCAGCTGCTGCTGCCTCCCAAGTGCTGGGATTAAAGGTGTGCACCTCCATGCCCAGCCCAACACACAGATTCTTAACATGAAGCTCTTCATTCACAGTTCCACCCACCAAGTTGTTCACATCATAAACACTCCTAGAAATACCCCCCACACACCATGTTAACATCAGTCTCCTGAAAACCAGCTATCAGGCACATTTTCTCCGCTGTGCTTTTCGTACTCACAGTTGTCCCAGCTTACACACTCATCAGTTCACATATCCTTATGCCCTCATACAACACAGAGTCGTCAAATACAACTATATACCTACATGTGCCAGGTAGCTCTTCCCAGAGTCTTCCCCGTGGAGACTCTGGTATAGAGTAGACAGGATTTGAGAACTGATCTTGGCCTTCCCAACTGCTAGAACACTCCTTTGTGCTTCATACCTCTACTCCTCACATCCCGGGATAATCTTGGGTTCAAGCTGCAGGAAAAGCCAGAGTGCTGCTCTCCAAGGCAACCTCCTACATCTTTAGGGGATTTCAAGATCTCGTTTCTCACAAGTTGGTGCTGGCTCTGGGGTAGACAGCTTTGGAGGCTGTTTCCCCTCCTCTTTGCCCAGCCTCCCAAGTAGAGAACTCAAAAGATCAGCACCCCATCAGGTGGGCATGAGAAGGTCTGTGCGCTGAAGAACCAGGGCAGGACTTCATATGCCATGTGGGGCCTGAGTAGGTGGGGCCAGGAAGTGGGACGGGCTGCCCTGCTCTAAGACCCCGCCCTGGACATGGATACTTTCTGTGATCCCCAGTTCCTCCTGGAAAATTCTTGACATTCCATCTACTTTTCCTCTCAAGATACCAAGCTGCTTTCTAATTAGGGCCTCATTCCTTTGGCCCCCACGTGTATAACACAGAATAGTACTATGCACGAGAGAATAGACACGCAAGTCAGACGTTAGTTCTGGGAGAATTACTTCACCTCAGCCATTTACTTTCCTTGTCTGGAAATGAGGATGCTGGTGGCTACCTCTTCATAAGGTAACTCTGAGCACAGTGAGATAAATAAACCGCATTTAACACACTGCCACGGCCCACTGTGGGCAACCATGATGCTTTCCTGGTGTAAGCTTCTCCCGCACAACAACATGTTCTTATTCTTACGTGTCTTCTCCTCGATTTGCACATACATGTCTCCATGTATTCATAGTGCACTCCCACTTCTCACTCTTTTCCTATGAGCTTCCCACAGCTCATGCGGTCATAAACCCCTGGCCATGTGCGCTTAGCATCAACCATCAACCCGTTCTGAGAAAGGGGTGGCGACTCTTTCCTGAGAGAATGAGGGAGGGGACAATAGAAGAGAGAGTGGCCATTCCCAAAGACCACCGTTGAGACATTGCCCTCCACTCTCGCCCCCAGCATCCCCAGCATCCCCTTGAGTGGGAGAGGGTCCTACCTGCATAGAATGGGTCTTGGAGCTCAGGAGCTGGGGCTTTGTCACAGCTGGCTTGGCTGAGGGGCTCTTGGAGGATGGGCTCGATGGCCTCCATGCCGAGAAAGGCAGTGTTGGCTGGAGCAGGACCAGCTTGAGCCACCCCCAAGGCCTTTTAAAGCCCCTTTGTCTTGTCCCCAGAGCTGGCAGCTGGATGAGCTCACTGAGCTGTTTTTAGAACCTGTCCCCCTCCCTCCTTTCCCTGTTCCACAACTCCTGGTGTGACAGACATGGGCACCTGCCTCCCCTTCCCCTCACCCCACCCCCTCTGGACTGTGAGGTCTGCTTGGCTAAAAATAAGCCTGAGCCACTAAATAGAATTTTGCCTGGCATGATGGGAAGGGAGGGGTGTTAAAATGAGAATGGGGGATAAGTATGGGATCTTGAACATGCATCTGGAATTTCTTTGTAGGAGGCTATGGGACAACCCTTAGGATATCAGACTTTTAGCCTCTATGCAAATTCAAAGACATAAAACTCCTTGAAGGGAGAATCAGAATGGTGGAAGAGAGGAAAGATAACTAGAGAGAGCAGGTCCTGAGATTTCAGAAGTGGCAAAAAAGAAGTCTGTGGGTGCGGAATGGGAGGCCTAGGACAGAGAGAAGCTTCACTGCATCCCAGAACCTGCTATAAGTGGGCCTGGCCTTTTTTGCCCAGGCCTACATTCTTGCCTGAGATAAAAAAAAATCAAAGATCCTTTCCCAGCTTTCTAGCAGTCTCAGGATTACCCCGAGCACCTTGTTAGTCCCCAGGAATCCCAAAGGAACTCACAAGTGTCAAAAGTAGCATTCATGCTGGCCTACAATTAACATTGTGAAAAGCCCCTATGGCCTCAGCCTGCTTTCAGATACTCTCTCCCTGGAATCTCCTTTCTCCTCCCTCCATCCTGACATCTAGCAAAACCACCACCACCGAACACTTCAGGTCCCTCCCCACTCCCCTCTATTGTCTGTTCTTAGTTTGAATCGCGCCATTGAGCCACATAAGATAATAGTTATAACTAAGGTAACAAGGGACCCTGAGCAAAATCAATCTCCTCTCCTTCATGACTCTTTTCAACTTGTCCCAAAGACTGTTTCCAGGGAACATGAGGTAGGTAGGATGTGTGGATGCGAAGGCACAGATTAGGACTCAGATCCTGATTGAGAACAAAAGGATTCAGGCACTCACTGGCTTGCTTGGCCTTCTGGGTGTAGGTGGTAGTAAGATCTTCTCCCACTGGGTGGGGGACAGGGCCCACCATCGGGATGAGATGAGGACCAGGCCGGAGAGGACCATGGGGTAAGAGAAGTGCTTCTGCCGGTGGTGGCTGGAGAGCAGCTCCTTCCTCCCACGATGGGGAGCTCACGCGGCTGTCGCCCTGGCTGACAGAGCCGGTTTTAGCAGCTGCTGGTTCTGCAGGGCTGTCGGACAGGTACACCTCATCAGGTGGGGCTCCTGGGAGGAAGGGCCTTGTGGGACCTCGGCGTCGGGTTCGGCGGGGCTTCTCCTGTGTGGCAGGGCCGTCGACATCACTGTCTGTCTCTCCATAGTAAGCTTCGCTGTCAGGAGGTGAACGAAGGTTCCCAGGCTGAAGAGCCTGGGGGGCAGGAGCACCTGGGGGCTCAGGACTCAGGGGAGATAGGGGTGACAGCATCCCTGGAGACGGAGATCTCACAGGCCCTTCCTCTGCTACCCTGGATGGAAAAGATGACAGGATTTGAAAGAGGGACTAATGGCTTCGGGACTAGGGGATCTGGAGGGGAAGAAGGGGGCAAGGCAGCGGAGAGGGGAGACTGGCGTACGGTGGGAATAGGTGGGCAAGGAAGAGCGGGATCTGAAGGCTTTGAGGGAGATGTGATAAGGAGACAGACCAAGGACTGAAGTCCTCACCCCTTCAAATGCCTGCTCAACACCCCATCCCTCAGTTGCAGATACATTCCAGTGGGAGGTATATACAAACATTCTCCAGCAGAAGAAATAGGTACTTGTTAGTGACTGAAGCCTGACAAGCAATGAGACAGGCAGGAACAGACCGACCGAGGCTAGAGAAAAAGGAGGGGAGGACTCCGTACCTCCTCACAGTAAGGACAAGCTGATGCCCCGAGGCATCGATGAGTGTCATGGCACTGGCATGGGAGAAGTTGGTGCAGGAAACTCCATTGATCGCCAAGAGCTGGTCCCTTTCTCGGAGTCCAGCTCTTCCAGCCTGGCTCCGTCTTCGGATCTGAGATGTTGAAGAAGAGATTGGGGATCATGGAGCGCTCCAGTGGGAATGGAATGGAAGAACAAAAAGGACCCATGTAAGAGGGCTTGTTGTTGTTGTTGTTGTAGTGTAGGGTAAAGAGGATAGGGAGATGTCTGGGGTGCAACTAAGGAAGCCTGTCTAGAGGTACTCCGGGAGACTGTGACACATTTATTCAGTTCTCACTGAACGGTAGGCACTGCACTGTATGAAATATTGCACATAATTCTTAGAATGGTTTACAGACTTGGTGCTATCATTATCCACATTTCACAGCCCAGAAAACGAAGTCTGTGGGGTGAAACCAAAAGGATAATGACTTCATCAGCAAGTCTAGTACCTAATCTTGCCTAGTAGGAAAATGGATATGACTTAAGCAAAGAGGAGCATTGAAGGCAGGGCAGGGCAGGGCAGGGTAGGGCAGGGCAGGGCAGGGCAGGGCAGGGTAGGGCAGGGCAGGGCAGGGTTGGGCTGGGCTGGGAGAGACTGTCTTAGCTTGTCCCATATCTGTTAGTCAGAGAGAAATTAGAACCTTCCCTACATTCCTGGAGTTTGGAGTAGAGAAGCTCACAGGCATAGGGGAGCAAATGCTGGATGACCAGACTCAGCCTCTTCTCCCATAGTGCTGAAGCAGGCCTTTCCTTTTGCACTGCTCCCTGAAACCAGAATTGGCTTTGCTAATAGTTCTCCAGGAGCTTGTGGTCAGAGGCTGCTCCCCTATAGCCTGAGCATGCTTACCTGCCCACCACCTCTTCTTCACATCCTCCCGCTCTGCCCACCCCCACTGGCCCAGAAGGCCGCCACATGACTCTTCCCAAGTTCCCTGGGGTTCCCTTCTCTATGCAACATCCTTTGAGGGGCTCTCCCTTACCTTCGATACCTGTAAAGGTCTCTTCTGTTCAGCCCCTCCCTGAAGCCGGAAGCCCCAGGGTGCTCCCCCTGCTAATGTGACCTTCACCTCCTCCTCAGCACCCATTGCACAGCTTGGCCTGTGGCCCCCAAAGTTTGGACAGTGTCCCTGAGAGAGAAGTTGAGGTGCTGGTGCCCCGTCCGGCCTGCCTGTCTGGCTGTCCTGCTCCTGCCGACCCAGGCCTCCCCGCTACACCACACACCATAGGCAGGCAACTTGGGCCTGGGATCAGTACAGTCCGGTACACATGTCCTGTCAATCACAGCTTGCTTAAAATAGTTGCCGGCTGCACTCCCCCCCCCCCCCCCCCCCCCCCCGCCCCCAGCTATGTTACTCCTAGAACTAATTATAGTACACACTTCTGCCCTCCATGTCCTCCCTTCTCCTGCACAAGCCTTTTAGGCAGGACTCAGTATCAGATCTCTGGGTTTTTTAACGGAGTAGGATCCTTCAGGCAACATGCCTTCCCCCAAAGCCCACAGTAAGAGCAGCAGCGGCTTCAACCCCAGAGTCGGCAAGAAATGACGGGGTCTGCTCCATGAACTCCTCAGGGAAGAGTGCCACTTCTCTGTTTGAACTTACTGTTTATTGAACCCGAACCTGTTTGTGCGCTGCACAGCATGCTAATCATGGAAAGGATGACTTTTGTGAAAGAGTAAGAGTTTAATTCCAGCACTCGGGAGGCAGAGGCAGAAGGATCTCTGTGAGTTCAAGGCCAGCCTGGTCTACAGAGGTAGTTCCAGGATAGGCTCCAAAGCTACACAAAGAAACCCTGTCTCAAAAAATACCAAGCCAAAAAAAAGGAGTTTATGTTAATATTCTGACCTGCCCCTTGAAATCCCACCCCTTGGCACCACCCTCTGTCCTGATGTAAAAGTCTCATTTTAAGGAAAAACTCCCCGCTTCCTCTGTCTTCTGCTTCTCCTCCCACAAGGTGTGCCCCCCCCACTTACTCTCTTCTTCTCTCTCCTTCTCTCTCTCTCTTTCCTATCTTTCTCTTCATCTCTCTATTATAATAAACTCTCCACGTGGATGCAGCATCTGGGTTGTGAATTACTGGCCACTGCTGCCTGCACGGCATGCATCTGACCAGCACATTTCCCTGCATGCTCAGGATAACCTCAGGGGTTCCCCCATGCAATCATTCATAACATTGGCACCCAACATCGCCAGGCAATCCCACTGCTTTCTGCTGCCTGCTAGCAGTCTGATAGGCTCTGGGATCCTGTACCACCTGCCATTTTTCAGGCTGGAGCACCGCCAGGGACTCTTCACCCTACTGGATCGGTAAGATTCCTGCCTTCCCTTCTGGCTGTTTTCCCACAGGTGAGGATTTGTCTCATTTTGCTCACTAGTACCACGTGTCTTTGGGGCTCTAAGCCCCTCGGCTCCGTCCCTCAATTCCATGGCCCATAGCCTTTGTGAAGATGGTCCATTGGCTATCTTGTGCTGTTATCATTGGCTTGCACCATGCCGCAGCCTGGGCGGGGGCGTCCCTCTCTCCTACCTGGCTGCACTTCCACTTCTCCATCTTTCTTTCACAAAGTCTGTTTCCTATGTGCGAATGGAAATGTACGATTGATATGGCCATCTATATTTCTTTCTGACTGACTTTTTTTTTTTTTTTTTTTTTGGTTTTTCGAGACAGGGTTTCTCTGTGTAGCTTTGCGCCTTTCCTGGAACTCACTTGGTAGTCCAGGCTGGCCTCGAACTCACAGAGATCCGCCTGGCTCTGCCTCCCGAGTGCTGGGATTAAAGGCGTGCGCCACCACCGCCCGGCCTGACTGACTTTTAAATGCTTCAATTTATCTGTTCCTTATCTGCTCAGTTTATTTTGGGGAAAAAAAAAAACCCACACATGAACACATGTGGTCAGGCGCCAGAGTCTATAGGAGTGATCACGTGATCAGACAGTGCTATCTTTTTTTTTTTTTTTTTTTTTTTTTTGGTTTTTCGAGACAGGGTTTCTCTGTGTAGCTTTGCGCCTTTCCTGGAACTCGCTTTGGAGACCAGGCTGGCCTCGAACTCACAGAGATCCGCCTGGCTCTGCCTCCCGAGTGCTGGGATTAAAGGCGTGCGCCACCACCGCCCGGCTCAAGGCAGTGCTATCTTAAATAAAGGCAACCACGTGGTCTAGCTGCCATCTTGGCTAAGGTCAAAACAGTCAGGCCATATGGCCTCACCACCATCTTTACTAAGGGCAGCATGGGTGGGGCGCCTGGCACTCAGGCCATCCTGTATGGAGGGAGGTTAGGGAATCACCTCCTGCTGCCCATTGTTTCGCCATTGTTTTACAGGCTGAGGAAAAGCCCTCCAGCCTTGGCCTGGCTTTCTCCAGCTGCCTCTCTCAGGCTCCAGCTGTCTGGGCGGGGCAGAAGTCCAGGCCTGCAGCCACTCATGTGGGTGGGGCCCGGAGACATATGTGCTCCCCTTCGGGGCATCAGCAGAACCACATGCAGGTGGTATCATTATATTAAGAGTTTAAATTTCAGATTTTAACATTAATACAATTCTGATACACTTTGGGTCACAAGCTCAGGATTTTAAATTTTCCTTGGGTACTCATTACCTGCTTTTCCACAATTTGGATTTCAGTACTGATGGGTAATACTAATTTATCTAAAACTTTGATTTTTCCTCATTTGTCTATTCCTGAGGATGATATTTCTCTCCCTCCTGGTCTCCCTTTCCCAGTCACTAAGACCATGGGCCAAAAGGCTCCAAATAAATTAATAAGTTTTAACTCCCATCACTAGTCTATATCTCAGCAGGCTGGCAGAAACATTGAAGCCACTGTTATGGACCACAGCCTGCAGTGCTTTTCCTGCTACGGATGTCAGCAGAGATTCTTGTCTATGTAATGTGGACCCCAGCCCAGCCAAACGTAATTGTTCCCTGCCTCTACAGCCAGGTCAGATGACCACATGTCTGGGTTCCCTCCTTACCTTTAACTAGCCAGAGTGCTCCTGACCATCTGGGCCCTGTTTCAGCTTGAAGCAGCTTCGTTCTGTGCTCCCTGTTC